TTTGCTTAATGCTCAAACAAAAGAGTGATACTGTACTAGGTTAACCCTGTGCTAGAGTCACCCTGTGAAGGATTGTTGTGCTAAGGCAACCCTGTGAAGAACATTTCCTTTAAAAGAAGGAAAAAAAAAAAGGTAAAGAAAAAATAATTATAGAGTATGTTAATTGCTTGGAAATAAATCTTACTTCTGTCCTGGCTCTGTTTTTGTGTTAACTGGGTAATTTACTTGATTCATCTGGGCCTTAGTCTGTCACTCCTAAGGTACCTTCCAACCTGAAACTCTGAGTTACTTCTCAGGCTGGACTCTTGTGTGTGATGCTCCTATAAAATAAGGGTGACTAAGGGAAATAGGAACCAGAACTAGAATATATTTATTTTCAATTATGTAGCAGTAATTTCATTTTCTTCAGAATATCTTTATAAAAGATTTATCTGTTACCACGTGATTTGTTACCTTATTTGTTTAGCAACAGTGTCAGTTTTAGATCAGATAAAGGATATACTATTTTTAATTACAGCACAGCACATTTTGTAAGTATGCCCCCTCTCTCAATACTTACCTTAAAAGTTATGTGTATAGGGGTGGGATAGGGAGGATGGGAGCGAGGCTCAGGAGGGAGGCTCAAGAGGGAGGGGATATGGGAACATATGTATACATATGGCTGATTCATTTTGGTGTACAACAGAAACTAACAGTATTGTGAGGCAATTATACTCCAATAAAGATCTATTAAAAAAATATTGTACAGTACAGAGAAATACAGCCATTATTTTGTAATAACTTCAAATGGAGTGTAATTGAGTATAATATATAAAAACATTGAATCACTATGTTGCACACCTGAAACATATTGTAAATAAACTATACATCAATTAAAAAAATAAAATTAAAGGTTAAAAAAAGAAAATGTATATGTATACATATAGCTGATTCACTTTGCTGTACAGTAGAAACTAACACAACATTGTAAAGCAACTATACTCCAATAAAAATTTTTTTTAAAAAGTGTTATGCAAGAAGCTCTTAAGTGCTACAAGTTACCCTGTAGTTTTTTGTTTTGTTTTGTTTTTTAAAGGAATTTTAAAATTAAGTAATTTTTGCCTGAGTTGGGTCTTCGTTGCTGCGTGCGGGCTTTCTCTAGTTGCGGCGAGTGGGGGCTACTCTTCGTTGCGGTGCGCAGGCTCCTCATTGCAGTGGCTTCTCCTGTTGCGGAGCACGTGCTCTAGGCACGCAGACTTCAGTAGTTGTGGCGCACGGGCTTAGTTGCTCCTTGGCATGTGGGATCTTCCCAGAACAGGGCTCGAACCCATGTCCCCTGCATTGGCAGGTGGATTCTTAACCACTGTGCCACTAGGGAAGCCCTGTTTTGTTTTGTTTTTTTTTAAAACTATGTACTTCATTTAATAATAGTACATTGGTTCATCAGTTGTATCAAATGTGTTGCACTAATATGAGGTAATAATAGGGGAAGCTGTGGGGGAGACTTTCTGCTCAATTTTTCCATAAACTTAAAACTGCTCTAAAAACAATTATATGAATTCTTTTTTAAAAACTGTAAATCATCAAGACATAGAGGAATGAGGCATCTCTTAACTTGGGGGGCCATTTTTTCTTTCTAAAATGTTAGAACTGATGCACCTCTCTTTCTTTACTGATTAGAAAGGAACTAGGAGGAATTGAGAAAAGAACCATTATTCTCCTGTATCAGACAGAAATAAAAGTGAATTGTAGCCATCAGTTCCTTTATGCACACTCCAAGCTGGGAGATACAGGAGAAAAAAGATCCTTCTTTAACTTTTCTGCCAGGTAATAGATGGCTTATGTTCTTTTTTTAATTTTTTAAATTAATTTTTATTGGAGTATGGTTGCTTTACACTGTTGTGTTAGCCTCCACTTCATAACAAAATGAATCAGCCATTCACTCCCCTGTAGTTTTAGTTAGACTACCCCATCAGTATGTTTAGTAAGGGTCTTGAAAACTAAGAGCCAATTATACTGGCCTTACATTCCTCTGATTGGTTAGGGGGCTAAAGTTTTCTTGACTTAGACCTTCTTTCACCCTTCAAGAATTAGCCAAAGATAACATAGCCAAATACAGGAAACACTATTGATTGTCAAGTAGAAATGTATGGGAAATTATGTTCATTATTGTTTTAAATACAGACTACAGTTAGGTCTACTTGAATTTTGGAGACCCCATTAACCCTTTGAGAAATAGTAGGAATTGTCCTAGAGCAGGGGTTCTGAAACTGCACAGTGTGAAATCCCCCCCTATAAGATGCTTTTGAAATTTGTAGGGGGTGATATTGTTGTACCTGTTGCTGATACAGTGACTGGGGGAGGTGCTACTATTATGTAATGGTTAAATGTCTTACTATTATCTGAGCCTAGATCTGAGCTTTATTTATTTACATAAAAATATAATACACAGAATTTTTTACATGATTTGTTTTTTTTTTTTTTGTGGTATGCGGGCCTCTCACTGTTGTGGCCTTTCCCGTTGCGGAGCACAGGCTCCGGACGCGCAGGCTCAGCGGCCATGGCTCACTCCCACATGCCGCGGAGCGGCTGTGGGATCTTCCCGGACCGGGACACGAACCCGTGTCCCCTGCATCGGCAGGCAGACTCCCAACCACTGCGCCACCAGGGAAGCCCTACATGATTTTAATACATTAATTTTGGAAGATATAAACTTGGAAGATAAAGATTTGTAAAATCAGTGGCACCGGTGGCTTTTATGGCATTTGATCAGTCTGCATTTGTAGTTGTCACATCCATGGTGATTCTATGTATAGATTCAAACCTCTGACTACTTCATTGTGTAGGGGTATGGTTATGTCCAAGTATTCACATACTGAAATATAGTCTTATTTTCTTTTATTTTCCCTTTATATTATAATTAGGACATTATATATTTTGAAATTGGCTATATATGTATGTAAATTATATGAATAATTTCATTTCAGATTTTTAAAGTATTTGTAAAATACTTATTTAGAAAGAATATTGAATATGAAGATTGACAACCAGTCTCTTAGGTAGTATTTAACTTAAAGTACTTTGAAAACCTTGAGAAGTGGTCTAATAAAAGTGCTTTTATTAAAGTGACACACAAGTACAGCCTATATGTTAGGCTGTAATTACATGGTATATGTCTATCTGTAGTGTTTACAAAGTCTGACAACCATTCTAACTCAGTTATTAGTAACTTATTAATATGGTAATATCAAGGTAGAAATTTATGTACCTGGACGTAACCTTTCATTACAGTTCACTTTCAGTATCTACAGAGGTTTGGTTCCAGGAGCCCTCACAGATACCAAATCTGCCGATGCTCAAGTCCCTCATATAAAATGGTGTAGTATAATGAATAAATACAGTCATTATACTGTTATCTGTGAAATTTTGATACGTGGTTGGTTGAATCTGGGGATGTGAAAGGCATGGATACAGAGGGCCTACTGTATTCCCTTTGATAATTCACTCCTTTTTGAGAAAAACATTTCTAGGTCTCATTTAAACACAGTATTGCTTTTCAAGCATCATCAATATTTTGATGAATCATTAGAATCTTTCCGATGATTTTATGTCAAAAAGTTGATATTTTCAATATGAGAATTTTGTCCTTGAAATAGATAGAGGGATAAACAGCAAGGTCCTACTATACAGCACAGGGAACTATATTCAATATCCTATGATAAACCATAAAGGAAAAGAGTATGAAAAAGAATGTACTTGTATGTGTAACTGTATCACTTTGCTGTACAGTAGTAGTTTACACAACATTGTAAATCAACTATACTTCAATAAAATAACTTTAAAAAAATTAAAGATAAGGGAATTGATTTTGGAGATTGGTGTGATGTTGCTTTAGTAAGCAAAGAGCATGGTTAACTGTAAAGCTAAAGGATTAAACTTTACGATGCATTTTGAGATGGCAGGAGAGAAATACTTGACCCTTGTAATTTACTTTGCCAGTTCCTAATGCTATTTATTTATTTTTATCTGCGTCGGGTCTTTGTTGCGGCCCGCAGGTGTCTCTCTAGTTGTGGCACATGGGCTCCAGAGCACGTGGGCTCTGTAGTTGTGGCACGTGGGATCTTAGTTCCCTGACCAGGGATTGAACCCACATCCCCTGCATTGGAAGGCGGATTCTTAACCACTGGACCACTTGGAAAGTCCCTAAATCACATTTTTAAGGGGGACTTCCCTGGCGGTCCAGTGGTTAACGCTCTGTGCTTCCACAGCAGGGGGCATGGGTTCGATTCCTGGTCAGGAACTAAGATCCCTCATGCCGCACAGTGTGGCCAAAGGAACAACAACAACAAAAAACATTAGTTTTTTTTTGTTTTTTTTTTTTTGCGGTACACGGACTTCTCACTGTTGTGGCCTCTCCCGTTGTGGACCACAGGCTCCGGACACACAGGCTCAGTGGCCATGGCTCATGGGCCCAGCTGCTCTGCGGCATGTGGGATCTTCCTGGACTGGGGCACGAACCTGCATCCCCTTGATCGGCAGGCGGACTCTCAACCACTGTGCCACCAGGGAAACCCAAAAAATCACTTTTTTAATGATCCAATATAATTGTTCTAGTAATTTGCATAGAATTTGAATTCATTCATTCAGACAGAAGTAAATATTTATTGAGCCAGAAATAGTAGGAGGTTGGGAAGCTCTCACTAAGCAACAAGCTTCAATATAGTGTGCTCCTGCTTTGACATAGATATGCCCTGGTGCTTGAGTGCACAGGGGAGTATTGGGGGTGGATTCCAAGAGTCTAGAAGACTAAGAGTTGGTCAGGACATATGTAGCTGAGGACAACCTAGGGAGAGGGATGATAGGTTAAAGGTAGGAGGCAGGAGAGAGTATGGGAAATGCTGGCAAGTATCAGCAGTTCAGCAAGGCTGGATTAAGGATAGTATGTGTGGGAGTGTTGAATGACATATTTAGAAAGTAAGAAAGGTAGGGGCCCATTAATTCATTCTTGTAATTCATTTTAGGTATGACTACTTCATCAAGAAATTCTTAAATCTGCCATTGTGGTTTTGCCTCTAATACCCAAGAAGTTTAGAATTTGAATCTGGGGAGTTGATGCTGTTGGGTAGTGAGGTGCAATAAGTCTCCTTGAAAAGGTTGCTGCTCTGGGCTCCAGTCTCAGGAAGTCTCATCATTTCCAGTTGTCTGGTAAGGGTGAGGTCTCAGAGTTTTTGTTTTTATGGTTTCGTGCTCCTGTATTACTATGGATATTCATCAGGTGATTTGGCTTCAGTTGTGAGAATCTTGCCAAGAATCTATGCTGAAGAAACCAGGGGAGTATACAGGTTTATCTTGATTGTAATTCTGTGACAGTTGGCTGATGTTTCATAAACTCATCTCAGTTTTAAATGCTAACTTTAGTTTGTCCTGTCAGCTTTTGTTGACAACTCCTAACTCATATGTAGTACTTGGTGTTCAGGAGATGGCTTTTCCCTGTTTGTCTTTGCATGGTGGTATTTGAAGGTAAGCAAAGCATGGTCTTTAAAATTTGATGTAGCATGTTTTCGTTCCTCAAATATTTCTTGAATGCCTAATACTTGGAAAGTTGAGAAGCTCCTCCACTGAAGACAATCTCTAAAGGCTGTTCTGCAGTGATTTGCCTAAAGTGTTTCTAGGATCAGCGACAGTTAATGACATCTGTAGTAACTTTGTGTAATTTTGTTCTTGTCTCTGAAAGTTTATCAGTTTAGAATTTCTACGTATAAACGTATAATGATTTCTCTGTACACTGTGGTGAGAGACAGTATTTTAAGAAGCATGGCACAAGACCTCAAGGAGCTTACAGTCAACGTAATGTGGTTTATTATGGTTAAATGTCTCAGACTCTTTTTATGGTGCTTTAGTAGTCATTACGTAGAGTGTGGTGTTGGGCTCACCCTCTAGAGTTAGACCCAACTTCAAATCCTAGGACTGCTGCTTTTTATCCATGAGATCTCAGATTTTCTAAGTCTCAGGTGCTTCTTGAGGAGTAGTAGTATTACCACAGGGTAGTAGTAAGGATAAAATATAGTAACACATGTAAGACTTTATTAGAATGCTGACACATAGTAAGTACTTACCTTTAGGTGTTACAAATTCTATTATCCTGTGAGCTTTTTTTTTTTTCCTTTTTTTTTAATTGTTGGAGTAGGGATAATACTGTTTGGTCTTAAGTTCATTAAACAATTACAAATGGCTACTATCTGCTAATCACTTTTGGGGAAACAAAAGTAGTTGAATATATGTGGCTCACAGCTCAAAAGAACTAACAGTTTTTGAATTAAAAAAATTAATAAATAGCAACAAACATGGGGCTTATTATATTCCAGGCATTCTTTACTCAGTGTTAATAAGTATGCTATGAGGTAGTTACTGTTGTTTTCGCCATTTCACAGATAAAGGAATTTAAGTAGGAAGAAGGCATGTGATTTGCCCAAGATCTCTCTGCTAGCGAGTGATGGAGCCAGGTTTTACAACTAAGCTGTTATACTCTGAGAACACAATATTTAATCGTTGTTCTGTTCTGCCTACAGAAACAAGGCTTGCACATCTGAAAGATTCAGGACCTTTATGACAGTGTCAGTGTGGTGGATCTAGGCTATGGGGTGTAAGACTTAGGAGGGAGGAATCAGTAACGGCCAGGATGTTCAGTAAAGGGAGAAAGCTGTCATTTAGCAGAACTTGCAATGTGTCAGGCTCTCACATATTAGCTCCTTCATTTGTCACAGTGTTCCCAGGAGGAGCATTTTATTATGAATCCCCTTTTTAGTTAATGGAGGCTCAGGAAGTTTAAGTGACTTACCAAAATTCACATAGCTGGTAAATGGTATAGATGGGATTTTTTTTTTAATCTTTTATTTTTTTAATTAATTAATTTTATTTATTTATTTTTGGCTGCACTGGATCTTCGTTGCAGTGCGCGGGCTTCTCATTGCAGTGGCTTCTCTTCTTGCGGAGCATGGTCTCTAGGCGCGTGGGCTTCAGTAGTTGTGACACACGGACTTCAGTAGTTGTGGCTCACGGGCTCAGTAGTTGTGGCTCACAGGCTCTAGAGCGCAGGCTCAGTAGTTGTGGTGCGTGGGCTTACTTGCTCCGTGGCATGTGGGATCTTCCCGGACCAGGGCTCAAACCTGTGTCCCCTGCATTGGCAGGTATATTAACCGCTACGCCACCAGGGACGTCTTTAGATGGGATTTAACAAAATCTTTTTTACGAAAATAGCAAACATACAGAAAAGCAGAGGAGTAATACAGTGTACTCCTCATCACCCAGATTCAGTAAATACCAACATTTTGCCTCTCATTTCATCTATTTCTGTCACTTTTAAAAAGTTTTATTGAGGGATAATGGACTTAAAGTAAACTGCACATATTTAAAGTGTATAATTTGATATATTTTGACATATGTACACACTCCTGAAACCGTCATCACCATAATCAAGGTAAATAAACATATCCACCACTCCCAAGAGTTCCCTTGTGTCCCTTTGTAATCCCTCCTTCTTACCTTTTCCTGCTTCCCTGCCCTCTCCCACACAAGGCAACCACTGATCTGTCACTATAGACGAGTTTACATTTTCTAGACTTTTATATAAATGGAGTCATACAGTATGTACTCTTTTTGTCAGGCTTCTTTCACTCAGCGTAATTATTTTGAGATTCATCCACATTGTTGAATGTGTCTGTAGTGGATTTTTGTTTGCTTTTGCTTTTTTGAGTGTGTAGTATTCTATTGTATGAGTGTACCACTTTTTAAAAAATTCATTCACTTGTTGATGGACATTTGAATTTTTCCCAATTTTTGGCTAGTATAAATAAAGCTGCTATGAACAGTTATATACAAGTTTTTACATGGATATATGCCTTCATTTCATTTGGGTATATATTTAGAAGTGGGATGACTTGATCATATGGTAGGTGTATGTTAAGAAACTGCCAAACTGTTTTCCAAAGTAGCTCTAGTGTTTAACATTCCCATCAGCAGTGTATGAGAGTTCCAGTTCCTCTTCTTCCTTGTCTACACTTAGTATGGTTGGTCTTTTTAATTTTAGCCACGTAAGAGGTGTGTAGTGGTGTCTTACTGTTGTTTTAATTTATATGACTAATGATATTGAGCCCTTTTATCATCCATCTCCTTTGATAGCCTCTGTTCAAATCTTTTGCCAATTTAAAAAAACGGAGCTGTTTTTCTTTTTTTTAAACAAATTTAGGAATTCAGAATTTTCTTTTATAAAAAATTTTTAATTAATTTATTTTCGGCTGTGTTGCATCTTCATTGCTGCGCGTGGGCTTTTCTCTAGTTGCAGTGTGCGGGCTTCTCATTGCGGTGGCTTCTCTTGTTGTGGAGCACGGGCTCTAGGCACGTGGGCTTTAGTAGTTGCGGCACGCAGGCTCAGTAGTTGTGGCACGTGGGCTTAGTTGCTCCACGGCATGTGGAATCTTCCTGGACCAGGGCTCGAACCCATGTCCCCTGCATTGGCAGGCCAACTCTTAACCACTGCGCCACCAGGGAAGCCCTGAGCTGTTTTCTTATTATTGTATGTTGAGAGTTCTTTATGTATGCTGGATACAAGTTCTTTATATGATTTGTAAGCATTTTCTCCTGTCTGTGGCTTGTCTTTTTATATTATGGACAGTGTCTTCCTTAAGAGCAGAAGTTCTTAGTTTTGGTGATGTTCATTTTATCAGTTTTTTATTTTATGAATTGTGCTTATGGGGTCGTATCTAAGAATTCTTTGCCTAATGCAAGATCACAAGCTTTTCTCCTATGTTTTCTTCTAGAGGATTTACAGTTTTAGCGTTTACATTTAGGCCTACAATCCATTTTGAGTTTATAATTTTTGATGTGAGATATGGATTGAGCTTCATTTTCTTAGCATATGGATGTCTAGTAATTCCAGCACCATTTTTTGAAAAGACTTTCTTTTTTCTCATCGAATTACCTTTACATCTTTGTTGAAATCAGCTGCCCATTCACGTTTTAAAAAATGGAATAATTTAAAGCAAATGCCAAGCATAGTGTCATTTTATCCCTATATATACTTCATTATGTGTCTCTGACTGATAAAGACTGGTTTTTAGAAACATAACATTCCATTATTATACCTCACAAAATGAACAGTTTCCTTACAATTGTCTGATATTTAATCCATATTTAAATTTCCCGGGTTGTTTCAGATCAGTCTCCAAAGTTGACCAATAAAGGGTTTTTCTCTATCATCATTGTCTCACATTTGTATATATTTCATGTGTTTCAATCCATGGATGTCATTATTGATTTTGATGCCCCAAAATGCTTCAGGTTGGTGTCTGTCTCTTTTGACATGATACTTGAATGTTTTGAATAAATGGGATTTGAACCTTGTTTTGTTTTTTTTTAACTTCAGTGCCCATGTTCTTCCCAGGATTATTGTTGTGCTTTCTTGAAGGAAGCCCTTAAGGAATAGATGAGACTTAAATGGTCCAGTTGAAGGCTGCATTTGTTGGAATAGTGGTTTGGTGCGGGCAGTGTCAACATATCTGTGAACATAGGTCTAGCAGCAGGAGGCAAAAAGCACTTGTGGCACAAGAGCCTGGATTGTGGAGTAGTCAGAGAAGCAAAGGAAAACAGGCCAGAGTCATAGCATAAAGCACCTTGCCAGCTGGTTTGGGGGATTTGGTCTTTTTAATACTTTGGTGGTGGGTTCATGACATTTTGTTTCTCTCGTGAGCTTGATAGAAAATTATTTTTGAAGGAAGGCCCTCTTGATTGCCATTTTTCATGGAGTTTGCCAAGAAAAATCTGGTTGAAGAAGCGGATATCAATTCTCTAAGTAAAGTCTGGAGAGAATCCCCTGTTGAGTGGTTGTTAACTGGATTTCTCAGGAGCCTGTACTCCTTAAACCTTTCATCTTTCACATAATAAGTCATATACTTATTATGTTGAATTTGAATCAGTATGGTATATATACATAATTTATGTAGTGATAACCAGAAGTATTTTTAAGTTATGGTGTCTTACTCTTGCTTAACTTAATTGACCTCCTGCTACATTGTTGGCTATATTGAAATCCAAGGACTAATTATGGATTGGTGAGCTTTATCATGTTTTAGTATAAAATTTGGCTAATTAATTCACTAAGTTTTACTCACTGATTTCTAGAGCCCCATGGTTATGAGTGTGCTTCCGCTTCATAATGCCTCCTGCTATGGCAGACATCCTTGACATCTGGGCAGTGGATTCACAGATAGCATCTGATGGCTCCATACCTGTGGATTTCCTTTTGCCCACTGGGATTTATATCCAGTTGGAGGTACCTCGGGAAGCTACCATTTCCTATATTAAACAGGTATGTTATCAGGCTGAATTTCTATAAACATAGCTTACTTACTATATCACTTAGGGGAAAATGTTCCTCCATTTTAGAATGTTATTAATGTAAATCATATGGTAAATTTGAGAGAAGTTTATAAGTCATTATATTTTAAAGGTTTTGATCCATACTGTGTCTTGGATCTTGTTTATTGGCTATATAAAACATTCTCATTCTCACTCCCACTCACTTTTAATTTTTAAAAAAATCCACGTGTGATACCTAAATGAAGACAAATTAGCTTATGTTAGCTAGTTTGAAAGGCTTGTTCAGGTTATCAAAAGGAATTTGACATTGTTCTAGAAAGTTTTATTTTGAGGTAAGATCTTTGTATGAATTGTCTTTGAGCTTATCACGTTTATTTTTCCTCAAGTGATTTTTCGTTGGTTGTCTCTTCTCTCCTTTTCCTTCCCTTTCTAATCCCCATTTTCTGTCCCCATCCCCACTATTTTTCATGGTCACTCTGGGGGGAAAAAAGGTTTTCTGCTGTTCAGTAGATTTTTTTCCCCCAGTAATCAATGCTATGTCCTCATTTGAAAGCAAATTCTTTCACATAGCAAGCCTTGCATGTTTTGTTGGATGATTTTTTTCAGGCGAATTGATGAGTACTATTGATTTGTGAAGATTATGACTTGTAAGTAAAATTATTTTCCTAAACTTTCTCTTTAATGTTTTTCAAATAGCTGAACCCAATATGGAAATTGGGGTTTATGACATACTTAAGAAAAAGTATTTATGACAAACCTTTTTAAAACGCTTGACTTTGGATAGCCTTTTAACTCTTTTCCAAGCTTCTTCATCAGGGAGACATAAGAATTCCAGAACTGCATAATCCCTTAAGTGAAAAGGGATCACTTTTTAATTGTTTTGGGCACCCTACAGGGGCAGATAGTACACTTACTTTTATAGTCACAAGTGACAGGTATGGATGCCTGTGGCTATAGCTGAAGCTGAATTAACCACTGAAACCATGCTCCTTAAAAAAAAACTTATTGTTGTAAAATACGTATAACATAAAACTTACTGTAGGAGTCATTTTTAGGCACACGGTTTCTTGGTATTAAGTATATTCACAGTGTTGCCCAATCCATCACCACTATCCATTTCCAGCACTTTTCATCATCCTAAACACAGACTCTGTACTTAGTAAATAATAAACTTCCCCTCTCCTAGTCCCTGGTAATCTCTATTCTAGTTTCTGCTTATATGAATTTGTATATTCGAGCTACCTCATGTAAGTGGAATCATACAGTAGTCGACCTTTTGTGTCTGGTTTTCTCAATTAGCATAATATTTTAAAAGTTCATTCATGTTGTTACAGGTATCTAAATTTCATTCCTTTTTAAGACTGAATATTATTTCATTGTATGGATATACCACATTTTGTTTATTCATTCATCTTTTGATGGACATTTTGGTTATAACCATCTTTTGTCTTTTGTGAATAATGCTGCTCTGAACATTGGTGCACAAGTATCTGTATGAATCCCTGCTCTCCATATGTTGGATCATATGGTAATTCTGTTTTAACTTTTTAAGAAACTGCTAAACTTTTTTTTTTTACAATGACTGTACCATTTTACTTTCCCACCAGCAATGCAAAAGGGTTCCAGTTTCTCAAAATGCTAGCCAACACTTGTTTTCCTTTTTTGTTTTTTTTTTTTTAAAGTAATAACCATTCTTATGGCTGTGAAGTGGTACCTCATTTTAGTTTTTTTGTTTTTTTTTGTTTTTTTTGCGGTACGTGAGCCTCTCACTGTTGTGGCCTCTCCTGTTGCGGAGCACAGGCTCCGGACGCGCAGGCTCAGCAGCCATGGCTCACGGGCCCAGCCGCTCTGCGGCATGTGGGATCTTCCCGGACCGGGGCACGAACCCGTGTCCCCTGCATCGGCAGGCGGACTCTCAACCACTGCGCCACCAGGGAAGCCCTCTCATTTTAGTTTTTATTTGCATTTCCCTAATGGCTAATGATTTCAGGCATCTTTTCATGTTCTTATGGACCATTTGTAGAATTGTCTGTTCAAGACTGTTGCCTATTTTTTAATTCAATTGTTTTTTGTTCTTGAGTCATGGGAGTTCTTTAATGTATTCTGGATGGTAATCTCTTATCAAACATATAATTTGAAAATAATTTCTCCTATTCTGTGAGTTGCCTTTTCACTCTCATAATAGTGTGCTTTGATACAGAAAAGTTTCTAATTTTGATGAAGTCCAATTTACCTATTTTTTTAATTTGTTTTTTGCCTAGCATCAGTTTCTCTTGTTTGTTTCATATAACTGAATCTGAGGATTGGCCACGATTTTTATCCCTCAGCTGTTGACTTTTGTCCTGGTTGCAGTTAAAATATGTAATCCACCTTGTGTTTGTGTGGTGACCTTTTATGTGATCTCATCCAGGAGACTTCAGGGGAGATCATGAGAAATTGATTCTGCTCATCCTAACAGGACAGTGCGAGTTAATGGAGATAACTCTGGTGAATAGAAAAGAATTCAGGACAAAAATAATGTAAATTTTGTATGGAGGTGGTAGATGATACATAATTTAAATGTTCTTTTTTTAATTAGAAATTATTTATGTCCACCAAAATGCTAAATATGGAAGTCTTCAGTGATTCTTATTCTTCATAGATTTTCACATTTAATACTTTTGTTTATATAAATGCATTTTTTTGCATTATACCATTATATTGCTTTACAAAAATGGGTTAAATACCGTTCATATTCTCTTACAATTTGCTGTTTTTAAAAGGAACCAACCTTAATATATCTCGTATAGCTTTCCACGTTACCGTGTTTTTCTGTTTTATTTTCACAGTTCTGTAATATTCCGTAATTCACTTAACTGATCCCTTATTGCTAAGCAGTTTGCTTGTCCTCAGTTTTTGAGTTTTCCAAAGAGTGCTGCAGTGAGCATCCTTGTAGATACATCTTTGTACACTTGAGCAAGTATTTCCATTTCAGAAAATGTCTTATTACTTTTTCCTGCAGATGTTATGGAAACAAGTTCATAATTACCCAATGTTTAACCTCCTTATGGAAATTGACTCCTATATGTTTGCATGTGTGAATCAAACTGCTGTATATGAGGAGCTTGAAGATGAAACAAGAAGACTCTGTGATGTCAGACCTTTTCTTCCAGTTCTCAAATTAGTGACAAGAAGTTGTGACCCAGGGGAAAAATTAGACTCAAAAATTGGAGTCCTTATAGGAAGAGGTAATTAAAAAAATTCTTATTTTGAATTTTTAACATGTTTGTTGCTATCTGTATAAACATGTAGTAAGTATGATCTGAGACCTTGCTTTGCAAGGTGTGGTCCATGGACCAGTGCTGGTCTGTACATTGTTAGCAGTCTGAGATAAAGTAAGTATAGAAATCGAGAATAAACTTCTCTAGCGATGTGATATTGCCACAACATCCAAGGGTGTGTGTATTTTTTGTCTTTTTCTTTTCCAGTGACTTATTTTTTTAAATTTATTTATTGAAGTATAGTTGATATACAATGTTGTGTTAATTTCTGCTCTATAAAGAAGTGATTCAATTATGCATAAATATACATTCTTTTCCATATTCTTTTCCATTATGGTTTATCACAGGATATTGTATATAGTTCCTGGCGCTATACAGTAGGACTTGTTTTTTATCCATTCTATATATAATAGTTTGCATCTGCTAGTCCCAAACTCCCAATCCATCCATCCCCCTTCCCTGCCCCTTGAAAAACCACAAGTCTGTTCTGTATGGCTATGAGTCTGTTTCTGTTTTGTAGATAAGTTTTTTTGTGTCATATTTTAGATTCCACATATAAGTGATATCATATGGTGTTTGTCTTTCTCTTTCTGACTTACTTCACTTAGTATGATAATCTCTTGGTCCATCCACGTTGCTGCAAATGGCATTATTACATTATTTTTTATGGCTGAGTAGTATTCCATTGTGTATATATACCACATTTTTTTTATCCATTCAACTGTCAACGGACATCTAGGCTGTTTCCATGTCTTGGCTATTGTGAATAGTGCAGCTATGAACATAAGGGTGCATGTATCTTTTTGAATTATAGTTTTGTTTGGATATATGCCCAGGAGTGGGATTGCTGTATCAAGTGGTAACCCTATATTTAGTGTTCTGAGGAACCTCCATATATTGTTTTTCACGGTGGCTGAACCAAGTTACATTCCCACCAACAGTGTAGGAGGGTTCCCTTTTCTCCACACCCTCTCCAGCATTTGTTATTTGTAGACTTTTTAATGATGGCCATTCTGACCAGTGTGAGGTGATATTTCATTGTAGTTTTGATTGGCATTTCTTTAATAGTTAGCGATGTTGAGCATCTTTCATGTGCTTGTTGGCAATCTATATGTCTAGTGAATTATTTTTATTTTATAAAAGTGTTGTTTTTTTGCAAATTTGAAATGAAAAAGTTGTTCCTTTGCCTCAGGTACTTTGAAAAGCCCTTTTTAAGAGATGCATCCTAAGTTTCTTATGAACTACCCGTCTAGTATGAACGTAATTTATGCACAACTCTATGCTAACCGAGACTTTAAGCTGATTGATGTTTCCATAAATTTTACTCCATAAGTAAAATTATGTTTTAAGTAGAAGTTACTTTTATAGCAAGTCAAGATATATCATGCCCACATTATTCTTTGCATATTAATTTCAGGGAGAATTGTGAGTAACACAATAAACACGGAGCAGTCTCTCTTGCTGTAGTAATCTTAGATGTCTAAAGGGCCAATGGTATCCTGCCTTAGACAGGGTATTAACTTGAATTTGCATACTGCAAGGGATTACTGAAGAGGAGGCTTAAAGTACAAAACCAAAAATATCTGAAGAGTGTTGGATCTGGATTGGCTACCTGTATTGATCACATTCACTCTTATAGGATAATATAGTACCGTCCCCTTTAAGATAGTAAGTACCTTTAAGATACTATTCTTTGATCTTTGACCTATAGTTAATTCAGGCTAGCTAATGATTACACAGTGGGACTAAACTCTTCCCTTTGGGTACTTAGAACAGAAGCTTGTTTAGTTACTGAATGACACCCTGGTATTTAAAAATGTTTGATTATTTCAGATGTTAGCTAGTTTGCTTTGGCAATGACTTTTCCCCCCATTAAATAGGCTTGTAATTGTGTACCATACAGATTTTTCAAAAATATATTAATAGCTTCAATAGAAAGCATTCCTTTCTGTTTTTTAGAGCTCCTAAGATTTTTTTTAAACTTTTAATTATTCTCCATTAATAAAAATTTTTCCTTTGAATTAGAGTATATGTAAAAGTAGAAAGAATAAAAATATCACTTAGTTTTATCCAGGACAAGAATATCCACTAATAATATTTTGATATAGTTCTTTTTAAGCAGTTTTGTGTGCATGTTTGTGAAAATATTGTTTTTCTGTATTTTTCTGCTGATATTTAGGGAAGCTGAAATATTTGACAATTCAAAAGGTTAGCATCACAGAGAGAGTTAACTTTTATGAGAATATAGGTGTCTTTTTGAGATTTACCATCTTTTCAAAACTTAGATCTCTGTGCTTTCTTTGGGTCTTGATCTCCAAAGCATATGGAATCATTAGCCACCATTATCTGTACCTAAGCTTGTCAGATTTACCAAATAAAAATACAGTAGATCCATGGGATACTCTTAATGCCAAAAAGTCATTCACTGTTTATCTAAAATTCAAATAGAACTAGACATACTGTGTTTTTTTTGTTTTTTTGTTTTTAAATGACAACTCTAACTTCACCCTACTAACAGCACAGAGATCTAATATATATTAGAATTGAATTTCTCTTTCTATAAACAATGTACCATATTTCATTTAGTGTATAAAGCTTATTGTACAAAAATTTTTTTATGCAATGTGCCCTGCAATTTGAATGACTAAGAAAATGCCACGAGTGTTTTATTGCATTGAATTAAACAGTTTATAAGCTCTTAAAATTTATAAATTGTACTTTAGACCCTTAGCAGTTTAGGAAAGCTGGCCTTATGATCATATACACAAATTCAAATGTTAACAGTCATTTAGGAAGTTGAGTAAGTCTGTTCTGATGTTTTAGAATGAAATTTTACTTTAAATACCTAACAAGTCATTTTTTGCAGTTGCTGATTTGTATGTGATGACTACAACCGGGACTTTGTGAGCTCATGCCTCCTGGGAAAACAATGAACAATTATTTCAATTTAACTTCAGGAACAAGTTTGCTGCCTCCTCCTCCCCAGCGAAAACAATAGAACCTTTACAGACATAACTGCCCTGACGGGTCTAAAAATACCTTTTCCTGAAAGATGATATGCCTAATTATTTCATTTTCTGTTTATTCTCAATAATTATTTATAGAGCTACTGCTGGGGTTCTGATTATTCTCTGTAGAGAAGATACTTGTTACTCCTGCATTAATTTCTCCAAATACCCAGTAGTAAATCTTGATCAGAGGATTTTGTCAGCATCCTGAAAAAAGTATTTGAACACTTCCTTTTTCTCCTCACCTATCTAAAGCTGTGGCATACCTTAAAGTGAAGGAAATACATAGTCTGTAGGATTTTAACAGTATCTTTAATATGAAGAAATTGTTCATTCAGTACTTTTTTAATATCAAAAATTTATATTTGACTGTAAACTATACAGTACTCTTATCTTAAAATTTAAGCTTTGCTATCAAATTTTCATACCACAAGACATATAGGCAATTAACTAGGCTTAAAATTAAATTCCTTAGCCTAACTTTTTATTTTTGGCAAAGTTTCTACTTGTAAGAGATCTTTATAGTAGTTCCCCAATTCAGGCTTCATCCATTTCTTCCTTTTTCTTTCTTTTTTTCCTTCCTTCCTTCCTTCCTTCCTTCCTTCCTTCCTTCCTTCCTTCCTTCCTTCCT